ATCTTTTCTTTATCTCATAACTGGTAACCTAGAAAAGATGTACAAGATGCTAAAAATTGCGGAAGTTAAGAACGATGTTATGGGTCAATTTCACAATGCTTTGTATGTTGGTGATGTAAGGGAGCGTGTCAAGATCTTGGAGAATGCTGGTCATTTGCCTCTTGCTTATGTTACAGCATCAGTCCATGGGCTACAGGATGTGGCTGAAAGGTTAGCAGCTGAGTTGGGAGATGAAGTCCCTCCCCTGCCAGAGGGGAAAAAACCATCCTTATTGATGCCTCCAATCCCCGTCGTGTGCAGTGGTGATTGGCCGCTCTTGAGAGTTATGAAAGGCATATTTGAAGGTGGATTGGATAGTATCAGCAGGGGTGATGCACATGAAGAAGAGGGTGCTGAAGGTAATTGGGGTGAGGATCTTGATATTGTCGATGCTGATGGCTTGCAAAATGGGGATGTTGCTGCAATTTTGGAAGATGGGGAAGTGGCTGAAGAAAATGAAGAGGAAGGTGGATGGGACCTTGAAGACTTGGAACTTCCCCCTGAGGCCGAGACACCAAAGGTTTCTGCCAATGCTAGTTCTTCCGTCTTTGTAGCACCGACTCCCGGTATGCCTGTGAGCCAAATTTGGACGCAAAAATCGTCTCTTGCTGCCGATCATGCAGCAGCAGGCAGTTTTGATACAGCAATGCGTTTGCTAAGCAGGCAGCTTGGCATAAGAAACTTTGCTCCTTTAAGGTCCATGTTTCTTGATCTTCACACTGGCAGCCATAGCTATCTTCGTGCATTTTCATCTGCTCCTGTGGTCTCGTTGGCAATTGAGAGAGGGTGGGGCGAGTCTGGTAATCCTAATGTTAGGTGTCCACCAGCCCTCGTGTTCAATTTTTCTCAGTTGGATGGAAAGCTGAAGGCTGGTTACAAGGCAACAACAGCTGGAAAATTTACCGAGGCTCTTCAGGTCTTCCTCAACATTCTTCATATGATTCCATTGATTGTCGTGGAATCGAGGAAGGAAGTTGATGAAGTCAAGGAGTTAATTATTATCGCTAAGGAGTATGTCCTTGGTTTGCAGATGGAGATTAAGCGAAGAGAAATAAATGACAACCCGGTGCGCCAACAGGAGCTTGCTGCCTACTTCACCCACTGCAACCTTCAATTGCCTCACCTCAGACTTGTTCTGCTAAATGCAATGACTGTCTGCTACAAGGCAAGGAACCTGGCTACAGCGGCTAACTTTGCCAGACGTCTGCTGGAAACAAACCCAACAAATGAGAATCAAGCCAAGACTGCGAGGCGAGTGCTACAAGCTGCCGAGAGGAATACGACCGATGCCTCTCAGCTGAACTATGATTTCAGAAACCCATTTGTGACTTGCGGGGCGACTTATGTGCCAATTTACAGAGGACAGAAGGATGTATCTTGCCCGTATTGCACTACTCGCTTCGTGCCTAGCCAGGAAGGGCAATTGTGTCCAGTGTGTGATCTTGCAGTTGTTGGGGCAGATGCTTCAGGGTTGTTCTGTTCTCCTTTGCAGATACGATGATCAAGCTGCTTACGTTATGGCTTGTTTGGAAACATCATCTTATCCTTTGAGCAACACAAACAGTCCCGTTGATTGATTCTTATCTGCAGCTGAAAGGTAAGTAGCTTAGAGAACTTGTATACATTGTGTACTTATATTACTCGGCCTCGAATTAGTATGCGTCTTGTATACTTAATTTCTAGATTTTTTTTCCTTTAATATGTTTGGAAGATAATATTTCTCTGTCCATTTCGGAGTACATGTCTACAATAGTGGTTGTAGGCTATGGCTATGAGATCATGCATTCAGCAATGGTTGCTTTAGCCTTTTGACGCTTTACTTTGGTTACTTTAAATTGAGCTTCGATTTTATCTAAAATCAAATCAGATTTTCTCAGTCTTGTTTCTTCATTCATATTATTCAAACCAGATATTTTACTTGAAGGGTCATTGAATGTTCTTACAATTCGATACAACATGCATGAAACCACTCAACTTATCATGCACTGGTGAATTCATTAAGTAATCTTGGTGATAAAAAAAGAGTGTTGTTCTTATTAGAAATCTTAGATAGATTCGAACAATTATATATGTATAGTGTATGTACGTTGTCATTAATTAAAAAAGATTTTGAATAAATATTATTTAAAAAAACTTATCAAGATTAATAATAATAATATATATAATCCTATTAGAATATATAGGATATTATTAATATTAATATATTAAGGTGTAATTGATGATTTTCAATTACAATCAATTCAACGAGAACTATAAATTACAATAATTATTGAGATATATTATAATCATCTAACTATACTCAACCAATTATATTATGATTTTTCAAAATTACTGTAATGTTTTTATAAATATATAGTACGTTATTATGCGATTTGTTTTTAATATTTGAGCTGATATATATATATATATATATATCTTTTAATTTTCTTTTGAAAGGAACAAATGCTTTTGAAAGAAAAAGAAATTGCCGTCTTGCCTTTTGCACGTGCATGGGAACATCTCGCAAGGGGACCAAAATCGAAGGGGAAAAGCACCAACAGCCTCTCCCTCCCTCCCTCTCTCTCTCGTTTTTTGTTTTCAAGTTTTTCTGTTTTTTTGACATTAATATAATATTTTTACTATAAATAATATATATTATTAGTTAATTTTACTATGTATACAAGGTTAAACATTAATTTAATCTTTAAATATAAAAATATTTAAATTAAATTATTTTTTATCAATCTAACAATTATTATATTAACTTAAATATGACCTAGGTTTATTTTAAAAAATATACTACACATTTTCTTTTTAATTCCAGACATTAGATCTTATATCTGATATTGAAAAAAAATGAAAAAAAAAATTTAAAAGATTATTCGATCTTATATCCGACATGATTCCAGACGTTATTGATAGCGGCTTTGATCATGAGCTGTCCAATGATGGTTACGGTGAGCCGTACACATGCGATCAAGAAGAAGAAGATGATGATGGTGGGTATGGGAGTGATCTGGATGATGAGTTGATCCCGAGGGAATTGGCTGGGAAATTCGGGAGGCGAATGATGAGGAAATTGGGGAAAAGGGCGTTTGCCAAGATTAAACAATTCGAAGAGGTCGCCGTTCTTGTATGTAAAGCCTGGGTGTGTTCCGTGGCAAGCATGGGTTTGGATTGAAGCACAGTTTCTAGGTAAACTAAATTTGGATTTACTTGTTGGAATCTTCAATTTGATTCTTACGTTGTAATTAGGGGTGATTAACGAGTTGAGCATCTCGAATTCGACTCGATTAAAACTCGGTAAATACTTGACTCGAGACCTTACGAGCTGAGCTGAACAAAGTCTAACCTAAATCGATAAGTTCGCGAACAACTCGTTAATTTTTTAAAATATATTTTTAGGAATTACTTCAAAATTATTTCATTCAAAAAATAAATCTAAATAATAATTATTAATTTATTAATAAATAATAAATAATAAAAAATTAACTAATATATTATTTTTAATAAATAATAAAATATTATTAATTAATAATATTATTTTAATACCAAAAAAAACTCAAGCCTAATATCTTCATATAGTATTAGTAAATTTCATTTTTAGTTAAAAAAATAAGGTAATCTCACTACAGCAAAAATAGTTTTTAGCGGCGGATGTACCGGCGTTTTTACTGTGAACGCCGGTAATTGTTTACATATAGCGGCGTTTTTGAACAAACGCCGCAAAATACTATACTTTAGTGGCGTTTGTATAAAAACGCCGCTAAAGAATCGTAATGTAGTGGCGTTTTTATACAAACGCCGCTATAAACTAGTATTTTAGTGGCGTTTTTATACAAACGCTGCTATAGACACGTACTTTTGTGGCGTTTTAATACCAAACGACGCTATAGACTCATACTTTAGTGGCATTTTTACACAAACGCCGCTATAGACACGTACTTTTGTGGCGTTTTAATACCAAATGCCGCTATAGACACGTACTTTTGTGGCGTTTTAATACCAAATGCCGCTATAGATTCGTACTTTAGTGGCGTTTTTACACAAACGCCGCTATAGACACGTACTTTTGTGGCGTTTTAATAACAAACGCCGCTATAGACACGTAAAAAAACGTTGCTACTGAAAACTACTTTAACATATCGAAACAAAACCCTAATTTCATAGATTCAGTCTGGGCATCGAAATATATCTCCCCTCCCTTTTATCTCTTCGCATCCACTCTGATCCTTTGATCCTTCGACCTCCATTGTTCGATCCATCTTCCCCTTACATTCAACCCAGATATCTCCATTCTTTTCATTCCCCTCTTTCATTGCTTTTAGACATCTCTCTATTCCATTTCTCTCTGCAGGCACAAGGCGCAACAATGGCTTCCAAATTTCTGCAGCTCTATGGTAAAATTCGGCTTTTAAATTCCTTGAAGTTGGATTTTGGTTCCTATTAAGGTAATATCCTAAAATCTGAATCATGTTATAAGATCTGTGATCACATAGTTCAGGGATGAAATTTGTGGGTTTGGATACAAACTGATGTATGCACTAGGTGGCGTTGCACTCTTTTTCCTCTGCAGTGTGATTTTATCTAAGCCTCAATTTAGCGGTGTGTAAACTTAGAGGGTTGTCCTTATATTAAAAGCCAATACCATGATTCTGCAACCTGCCCGTTTAAAACATCACAAGATTACTTTATATTAATATTTCAATATTTTGTAATATAATTAGATTTAGAATTAAATAAAAAGTTATCAGTGAACCAATCTATATCTAGCTGGATGTTTGGGCCTGGCAGGTTGTCTCCCTGGGATACCTGCATAATCCTCGTTGCTTTATTCTTTCAAATTTGCTTGCTGCTCAGTTGCCTTTCCTCCATGCATGCCTGTGGTTTTCCATATATTTTCTGGATTTTTGTTATTCTTCAGTCATATTTTTTATCATGAAGCTTTGCACAAAGAATCGCACCCCCCCCCAAAAATATATATGCAACAATGTGTTGACTTTGTACCCACTTTTTTGTTGCAGCAATGGTATGTTCTATATCCGCTTGAAGGTCCATGGTATGAGCTATTGGTCATTCCTCTTCGTTTTGAGCTTCTGTGTTCCATCATGATACCCATATCTATTAAGGTAACCCAATATAAAAATAATAATGATTTTGAATTGTTGCCCATGCTCTTCTTTTTTTGGTATGAACCTTGATATACTGAACGGACCAGCTTGCCACTAATAGCACAGAAGGTTCTTAGCTAGTCACTGTACTGTGTTACGCGAGACATTGACTAGATCAAAATATGGTGCAACAGTGATGTGAGTTTTGAGTTTAAAATAATAATAATAATTATGGCATGATTATAATATGATTAGGAATGCATTACAACTTTACCAATGTAGAAATGTTTTAGTTTCATTTGATTGTACTAGGACTAGTAGGACAAGTGTAGAATGTTTTGTTCAATCATTTGATTGTTAATAGAAATCCAAGTGGGTGTCAGAAACTAGTTCTAGTTTAAATTTATTGTAGACACATGTCCTTGTACTGATGGTCCAAGTTAAAATCTCTTGGATTAATGGGTTATTTTTTAATACTCTTAGGTTCGGTGGTTGGGAGATGATTGGTTTCTTTACTTGAAGTAAGGTTTCAAATAGATGAGAATATAAGCTTCATCTTAAATATCCTTTTAATTTTTGCTTCTAATCTTGTTTATTTGCTTCAATTTTTGATTTTATTTCCATATTTGAGTTCTTTCTCAGATATTTTATCTTGTTAACCATCAAGCCTTTTTTTGCAGGTCTCTCTGGATCTTGTGAAAAGTTTATATGCAAAGTTTATTGATTGGGATTCTGAGATGATAGATTATGAGACTGGTATTCCTTCACATGCAACGAAGTAAGTATTTTTTCCAAGAAATCAATTAGTTGGAGTGCCCTTCTTAGTATACAAAACTGGTAGCTAAGTTGATGTCACTCAAACTGAACATTATCTGTTCAAATGTTTGAGTCTTGTATGACTTGGCACACTTAACTCTCCTTTTGTTTATCTTTCTCCCTTTTGTTTTTACTTTTCACAACTCTTACCTCTCTCTTTTTTTCCTTACTATATTATTAAGTTTATTTTTACAACTAAAACTTTGTTATATAGGAGTTGTTTTTGAAAAGAATTATATGCAATTATTTAGCTACATGGTTGGATTCTGCCATAGATTTTAGTGAATGTATATTTGATAAAATTGGTTTGTTTTTATGTGGCAGCACAGCAATAAGTGAGGACATTGGACAAGTTGAGTACATAATGACTGACAAAACTGGAACACTAACTGAAAATAGAATGATCTTTAGAAGATGCTGCATTAATGGCGTTTTCTATGGAAATGAGAGTGGTGATGCGCTGAAAGGTTCGTTATCTATTTTTCACCTTCTTGCTCATTACCTAATCTTTTCTCATTGAATCCATTTTTAGGTTCATATTCTCATTGAATCCATTTTTTAGGTTTTCATTTCTGTTGAATGAAATTGTCTTGCTTGAAATAATCAGGGACAGTTTGACTTTTTATATCTTGCTAATGAAAGCTGATATTTTATAATTGAGGGGGGTCCAAAATTGGGAATGGAGTTTAATAAGTTATTTTGCCCGTGGGCCGTAAATTCTATGTTTAAGATGAGAATACAAATTTCATCTTTAACATCCTTATTTTGCTTCAAGTTCATAGCTCTTGTAAATTCTGATTTATCATTTCAAATAGTCTTTAATAAGTTAATTTTTATGGTTTTAGTTTTTATTCTTGGAAATAACATAATGACTTACTGTCCTTGAGTTTAATGTAATGATCAAAGCTGACGGGATAGCGAAGAGCTACGATAAAGCATGTTGGCTATTTGATAGCATGCAGTGTCACGGTGTAGTTCCGGATAAATGCGGTTATAGTTCTCTTATACAGATTTTAGCTAGCGCAGATTTACCACACGTAGCGAAATGCTACCTGAAGAAGATGCAGGAAGCCGGACTTGTGAGTGATTGCATTTCATAATGTGCTGTGATCTCAGGCTTTGTGAAATTAGGAGAATTGGGAATGGCTGAAGGACTATACAACGAGATGATTCAATCGGTAAGCTTTGTTGCTTGTAAGAATGAGTGAGTTTAAGAAAATTTGCGTTTAAAACTACTTTGAATCAGCCGTTCTGATAAACTTGGACATCATTGTATGATGCTTATTTTTTTTTCTCTCAGGGGCATTGCTTGTGTCAATTTTCGCATCTCCAATTGTATTAGCAGTGCAACTGCTGAAGTTGCCAAAGATTTATAGTCTTATAATTGGTTAGTCATCTGAATACTCTTAGCTGATAGATCTTTGTTTGTTAATTCTAACTGAACTTTGTAATTCCTTATAATTCTTTTAAGACATGTTATGTCAAGGATTCCAATCACAGGATCAGCTAGCAGAAGAAAAAGGGAACATATTTTTGTTTTCATTCAATGAGATATTTGTGTATGTTTAAAATTTCTATCGAATCTGCATTGTTCAGTCGAAAGAATCGTGTTTTTCTTCTGCTCTTAGGGTTGTTTTGGTGATTTCTCGATTAAACTGTCTTCTTCATTATAGCTCTTTCATTCGTTACTTTTTAACATAAAAAAGACTAAAAGATAGCGTTATTATTAATTAAATCATATGTGTATATAGTTCAAACCCTATTAAATTTACTAACATAGATATTATAATGTATATCTTTGCAAGCAAGAAATTGAATTCAATATTTAGGTTCATTTAATCGAAACTTTGATGAGTGCAAAGATGCGGTCGAATAGTATAATAATGAAGTATGAAATTTCGTGAGTTTGAAGGGAAGACCTATACTTGGGAATAACCCATCATGAGAACCTTGCTCACGCACGTTTGCTTTCTTTCTAACCTTTCATTTTTCTGGAGTTTTGGAGCCTTTTTCTGGGTACTATTGATTTAAAATATGTTTGGTCCGATAATCTGTTAGAAGTTATCATGAAATTCAAGCTTGGATGTTTCTGGACAATTATTAAGATCTATCTCTATATTTTGCTTATCATCATGAAGGTTGCCCATGCCATAGAGTTGTTGACTGCTGGGACTAACCATGCAGAAATGTGTTGTTAACTTTTTTAACATAAGATATAATGGATTTTCATATAAACTGATGATTTATTTGGATATGAAACTAGATATCGGGTTTGCATTGCCATGGATGGGGCCTTTTCAAGTGGCATGCCAATTGGAGTAAGACCTCATGAAGAAAAATATCTGTGCAAGAAATGACAGGACGATACTAGCTCTGCATCATTGTTTTCCCATATAAACTGGATTTATCTCTTTGAATTTAAGCGTCTCATTGTGACGAAGAGTTTTGAAGAATGTGTAAGATTAGAAACAAAATATCTTAGATATTATTGTTTATTATAGTTAATAATGTTGAACTACATTATATTTTACGTTAATGTAAACTTTGATTTATTATTATGGATTTCATTTTTCTTGTTATGGATTTTAAGTTTGTTGTTATCGATGTCAAGTTTATTGGAAAATGCTACAGGTTAAATTTGGGTAATAAAAGAGTAGAAAACAACATTTGACAAATTAGTTTTAATTTGCAAAATCAATTTCTTTTAGCTATAGAGAGGTAATTAGCGGCGTTTGTATCTTAAAACGCCGCTATATACAAGATCTTTTGCGGTGTTTGTGGGAAAAAAGCCGCTAAATATTAAGACCTATTGCGGCGTTTGTGGACAAAACGCCGCTAAATATCAACACCTATTGCGGCGTTTGTGGAAAAAACGCCGCTAAATCTCAACACCTATTGCGGCGTTTGTTGGAAAAACGCCGCTAAATCTCAACACCTATTGCGGCGTTTGTTGGAAAAAGCCACCAAATATCAACACCTATTGCGGCGTTTGTCCAACAAACGCCGCTATATATCGTTACCTATTGCGGCGTTTTTTGTTACCAAACGTCGCGAACTTTAGCGACGCTATTTGCAGTGGCGCTTTTTGCGGCGTTTGTCATAGCGCCGCATGTGTTTTTGGCGGCGCTTAAAAACGCCGCTATAGGTATAAAAAAACGCTACAAATGTACAGTTTTGCTGTAGTGTCTTTTTAGTGAGCTTAATGAACAACAAGTCGAACTTAACGAGCAACGAGTAAAATTTGAACAATAATTTTTTTAACGAGCACGAGTCGAGCACAATTTTAACGAGCTTAATAAGCAACGAGTTGAGAATCAAAATTTTTTAACGAGCATGATCGAACACTGCTCAACTCACGATCGACTCGTTCGATAGCACCTCTAGTAGTAATTATTAGGTTTGGATTGTTGCACAATTATAAGGGTTTGATTTGATTGTATTTTACTGATTTTCTTGTTAATAATTCCTATTTGTTATGCTCCCATCATCATCGGACTATAAATAGATCAATAATTAACATCCATACGATAAAAAATAACTGTATCTAAATATAAATATGTGTATATGAGTCGGTTTTTTCATTACCGAGCTAGAGCAGTCGGAGCGTTGAGCCGGAAACCTCATAATGCGGCGGCGGCAGCTGCTCTTGCGGCTGGTAACTGGTCTGCAGCTAAACGATTGTTATGTCCCTATTAAGCTCGACAGGGTGGTAGTTCCCGGACGCTTGGTGGCGACACCGGTGACGTAAACGGGGTCACCGAGTTCGCTGGTCAACTGAACGGGGTTGCCGTGTTCGTCTCAATAGATCAACCATTTCTTTTTGTACGTAAGAAGGTTTGAAAGAGTTTAGTGGAGTATGGGCTGGTTTTTTGCATGTATAAATGTACAGGTGGCAAATGCTACATTCAAGATATTGCCACGATAGAAAAGCGAGGAGGACACGTGAGCCATTATTAGAGTTAAGTATGTAATTATTTGACCAAGTCTATCTAACTAGGAATAATCATGATTAAGAATCCTATTAAATCTCCCCATCAAGATTCGGGAGATGAAATGTAATTCTCTCTATCACCTTATGAATACATAGAAGATTGATATTAAGCAGCAATCAATTTTTTATTGACCGTAACTCTTCACTTATTGTAATTCATTTGACAATTAGTTGTATTCGGCTGATGTATATTTATACCCAAGTATGAAGATAATGTAATTCATTATATAAACACCTCCTTTACACTTCTTTCCTCTCTTCAAAAAGCAGCTTTAGAGTTGTAGACTGATCCGTGTGAATGTCAATAAAATTGATTATATGTTCTTGCAATATTACTGGACTCCCAAAAATACAGTTAATTTTATTCTTCGATTCGTTTCTCACTTCAACTATTGTCATCATTTTTCAATATTATAAGAATCAAAGAATTTTAGATTAGATTTGTGGAGTTGAAGACGTTTTCGACTGAAATTAAGGTTTTCAAAATTTTGAATCTTCTTTTAAAGGAAACTTTTAACGGCGTCTAGAGTTAGACACTTATAATGACGCTTGTAACATTAACACTTGAATTGACAAAAAAAAAGTTTAAACATTTAAAATAGGAAAAATATATAGTTTTGAATTTTTTTTATATTAAGCCTAAATAAAAATAATTCTGCATAAAATCGATATATTGTTTTGAAATTTAAAATAGTTGAATTATAATAAATATTACGTTGGAATTTGAATTAATAATTTAAAAACTTAAACAAATAAAGGCTTTAGCACCAATGCACCTTTGTTCCTAAATTATCTATTTTTGTAAAGAATTTTTTCTTAAAGTATTTTTTTTTTGGATGTTTTGTCCCTAAAATAAAACATAACTTTATTTGTTTCAAATCATTAACTTTATTAAAAAAAATAAAAAATAATACATATTTAGTCACTCGTTTATTTTAATAATTCTGGTCATCTACTAATTTATTCCAATAATTTTGGTCATCTAACTTTTTCTTTCAAAATATATTTACGTTTTGGTTTCGTTTATTCAACTACCTTTAAAAAAATAATATTAATACATATCACTATAAGAGAACACCACATTGTAAAAATCATCACGTCAACAATTTTATTAATATTTTTAATAATAAAGAATAAAAATGGAATAAAAATATAATATTAAATATTATTTTAAAGAAAAATAGATGAATAAGTAAAACATGTTTACTCTTTAAAAAATAAAAGCATGAAATTTCTTAAGTTGCTTGATATTTTGATGGATCCATTAGTCGAAAAGAACCGACGTCAACTACAACAAACACAACCTGGCAATAAAAATCCCAGAAATTAAGTTTATGGCAATTAATACTGCAAAATGTTATCTGCAGAAGCCATGATTGGCTGATTCAAGTAGGCCAAATTGAAAGGCTTAAGGAAGTTATCAACCGCCGGTTCATTGAAACCATCAAGTCTTCTATTTGCGTCACGACCGCCGCCGTCGTTCAAGAAACAGATGATTTCATTCAAAAGACTGTAATCGGTGTCCGAGCTCCCCGAGTTGAGCTCGGAGCACCGAGCTCTCGGCCTCGACGTTCAATAGCTGTTGCTTGGTGAAGTTTATGTT